AGCAGGCCGCACTTGTTGCTCTGCCGCCTCCTTCCCCCTCGCGGTGTTACTGCACTTAGCGCGGGGGGGGCTTGAGAAAGTCGGAAACGTGCCGCCCGGCTTTCCAAGTCTTCTCACTCCCTGTAAATTGGCTGTAAAGTGCAAGTGTGTTTTTGTGGGAAGTGTTTACTTTGGATGAACTTAGAACATGGCCCCCCCCTCCCCCGAGGTTGCTTAAATTGTCCTGACTCCTGTCCTGTTCAAGAACTTTGTTTGTGCTCTAAAGTGCTTGAAGGAGGAATTCAGAATAGTAGGCGAAAAGTACCCTCTCTAAAACTGACTGGCTTCCATGTATTCTAGTACTGCAAAAAATTAGCGAAAATTTCTAAATCGGATGGAATTTATCGAAAGATGTAAGCGTTAAAAAGCACAGTTTGAGACGTTCACTAAAATTGACATTTACTGTCATAGGATCTCAGAATTATTTTCCTATTCCATATGGCCTGTATCCGAGGTCTCAGTGTGGTTGATGGGTTGTCGTTTGAGCTAGTTTACTTGTTCTAGACTGCCTCGTTATTTTCTGGGGTTGTAGCCAACCAAAGAAACAAAACTTATCCACAAATAAGCACGAACAGGGGGCCCTTAGCCCTTTGTAAAACTTTTTGCCAGTTTCGCTATTTGTTGGTAAAACAACAAGCAGACTTACTCTTCTGTTTGTTTGTGGTCCTACTCACGTAACTTGAATGTCCTTTTAGTGGACTGAATAATGAGACTTGAGATAGAATCTTCTTCTTGCCAAAGACGAGCTAAGTAAGCAATGTCGTGTGTCAGTACGCTCGCCAGACGGAAAGCGAGCCCGTGTCCTCCTCCCCTGGGTCTCAGGATGCATGGACGAGTGAGCGCGTTCTCGGGGACTAACCGCGGTCTGCGTGTGTGCGCTGTGTCCGAGTGCTGGTTTTGTGGCTTCACTAGCTCCCTTTTTCTCTCTCCTTTTTTATCCCGTCTCTGCTGCCGCTCCCCACCTTCCCGCAGCTCCGCCCTCCGACAGCTCCCCGTATAGCGCGCCGCTGCCCGAGTATGCCGGCTGCCAGCCTCCTGCGGCACCTCCTCCATCCTATGCTAAAGTCATCGCAGCTCCAGGGTCAGACGCCAGTCCTGACTATGCTGTGGTGACCGCTTTGCCACCTACTTGCACGCCCCCCACACCACCTCTTCGGCACTCGGCGACACGTTTTGCAGCATCTGTAGGCTCAGCCTTCCACCCCGTTCTTCCCCATTACGCTACGGTTCCTCGTCCTCTGAACAAAAACTCTCGGCCTTCTTCTCCCGTGAACACACCCTCTTCTCAGCCTCCAGCCGCGAAGCCCTGTGCCTGGTCTACTTGCACTGTGTCGCCCCTCCCTCCATCTCCTCCGGTCATGATTAGCAGCCCCCCCGGCAAAGCGACCGGTCCGAGGCCTGTCCTCCCTGTCTGTGTTTCTTCTCCTGTGCCCCCACTGCCTCCGTCACCAACAGCACCCAACGGGCCGCTTGACTCTGTCACGTGTCCGGTGTCTCCGCCGCCTACCTCAGGGCCAGCAGCGCCGCCGCCGCCGCCGCCTTCCCTCGCACCGCGCTCACACTGTGGATCTCAAGCCTCTCCTCCTCCAAGCACCCCCATTGCCTCAACTCCCTCCTCCAAGCCTAGTGTTCTCCCTTCTCCCTCTGCAGCTGCCCCTGCGCCTGCCCCTGCGGAGACTCCTCTAAACTCTGTGCTGGGGGACTCCTCTGCTTCTGAGCCAGGCTCGCAGGCAGCCTCTCAGCCGGCCGAGACTCCAGCCCAACAGGGTAAGGCTTCCGTCGTTGCTGCTAACGACTCGTCCCTCGAAAGGTGGCGCGCCAGCGGCCGTCACTGCCTGGAAGGACGGGGAGGGTGGTGTCTCCAGGCGGACGGCCTCCCGTCACCGTGCCACGCTGTCTGTAGTTTGAACAAGTGGCCGACAAGTGAGGTGATCTGCTGGATCGGTTGCATTCGGAGGATCCATATGAGGAATTCCCACAGCGATTGGGACTTTGGTGTCTCCCACAGGATCACGGTGGGGGGGGGGTCCGGTATCTGGTGGCCCCCACGACACAGATCTTTTCAATTTCACTAGGAAGACGTTACTTACACGTTTGTCTGCACAGTGAATATGTGATCTCCCTTGTGTCCCTTTAACTTGTGGGAAATTTGGAGGATAGACTTGGTGCCCAGCTGTAGTCATTAAGCGTATCATCCTAGAGTCTGCTCTGGCACAGTTCCGGTCGTGGGCCCTGTCTCATTTGGGCTTCCCACATTGGACTCGAGGGGGTAGGTGCACCCTGAATCCTGTGGGGCAGCCTGACTTTGCACAAGGGGTGGGAAGAATGGCAGGCTTGCTGTATGCCCCAGTGGATTCCGTGCTCCCGAGTGACAGGCAGTGGTGGGCTGAAGGGTGGTTGGAAGGGAATACGCATCCTCTCCCGTTATCCCTCCCGCCCCTCCCCTTGCCCGGCTGTGCTGTCATGGTCACGGGGGAGGGCGGATGTGACCTTCTGAGGGTGGATTATTTGTAAGTAGAGGAGGACCTGGTTCTGGAAGTAAAGACGATGCTTAGCAACTCTTTTTTTCAAAAAGAGGATTTAGCAGGAAGTAAAGGAAGGAATAGGACAGATTTGTATTTATAAAGAAACAGTGTTACAGTCTGGATTTAAATTAAACACCTCCTTCAAAAAATCTTGGTTCTTAAGTAATAAGACTTGTTACTGCTGTGTACATATTTTTTTCTCCTTGACTTATCAAGTTGGCTTAAACACTGAGCCAGAATTCTAGTATGTGCAGATGCGTAACATGTGACCACAGTGCCGGACAGAGAGGCACAGTGAGCCTGACCTGACAGCCACCCCCCCCCCCCCCCCCCCCCCCCCCCCCCGCCCTCGGGGCCCACTGCCCGGGAAGAGAGGCATCCCTGCTCTGTGCTCTTCTAGGAGCCATTGGTGTTCTCAGCTTGTGTGAACCGCTCAGTCAGTGCTCAGTTAGCAGCTGCAGAAAATCCCCACCCATTGTGCAAATAGCATTTTATTTGTCCTGAAACTCTCCAAGAGGGGAGTGCCTACTAGGTCATTCTTCTGATACGAAAGAAGTTCGTGTTCACTCTCTCTGTGGTTTTACTAGACGTGGAGACGTTTCTCTCTTCCCCTGTCTTCTAGACTAAAAAAACCTCTCTACTTCCAATTCCGGATCCTTTAATTACTTCTGGTTGTTTTGAGGTTGCGCTTTGTTCTAGTAGATTCCTTCATTTCGGTGATTCTGTGCACCCTGGATTTAAGTGTGGGACATGCGTAAGATACTGGAATGGGGACCCACGCCCTCTCATGGTCTCAGTCGGCACAGGCAGTGTCTCCACCACTGCAGACTTACCGTCTCAGCCTTTGGGGGTGCACGCAGACGACTTTGGGTCTGTTTCTTCAGGCCTTACTAACCGCCCTCACATACACTAGCTTGTTTTCGGGGACGCTGCCCCAGGCGCAGATTTTGCGAGCACTTATTTTATTTACCAAATCCCGGGAACACCCAAAAATCCAAAGTAAGAAGTCCTCTATTTTGGCTTTACAATTTAGTATCTTTTTCACCCCGATCCAGACTTTAACATTGTGCTAAGCGGAGCTCACGAACAGTAGTGAGAGTTGGAGGCGGTGGCGTCCTGCACCGCTTCCCAAAGAGGGTACCGCGCGGCGCCCCGTTGACCGGCTGTCTAACGTCTCTCTCCTGCAGGCGGTGTCTTGGGACCACCCGCACCTCCGCCCCCACCGCCGCTCCCACCCGGCCCCGCCCCGGCCGCCGCAGCACCGCCCCCCCACCCGGGGCCGCCGCCCCCTCCTCCGCCCCCGCCCGCGCCCCCACTCCCCGCATCTGGATTTTTTGCGGGATCAGCGTCTGAAGACAATCGCCCGTTGACTGGACTTGCCGCTGCGATTGCCGGAGCAAAACTGAGGAAAGTGTCCCGGGTAAATGCGTTTCCGAGTGTCCCCTTTTCTGTGTGTGTGTCCTGTCCTTTTCTCAGCGACTCAAGTACCGAGTTTACCGTATTCTACTTTCACGAACTTCATTGACTGAGAAATTTGAGATAATTTATACTTCAGAACAGTTGAGAGAGTGCAGTTTCTGTGAACCCATCGCCCAGACTCACCGCTTACAGTATCTGCTTTGATTTTTCCGTGTGTTTGTGTTTCCTTCTGGGCGAACACAATACCCTCCCCTTTTGTCAGACACACCACTCCACAGTGTCCGTAAATCCTGCTTTGTAGGGACAGGGACATGCACCTGTGTGTCCGCTGTAGAATGATCAGAGTCAGGAAGCTGGATCGATGGGCTGTTAACAATCTACAGACCTACTCAGATTGCATCTGGGGTCAGTGATGTCTTTTCCGCCACTTTTCTAGCCCAAGATCCTGGAGTCCATCTCGTCGTGATGTCCCGAGTATGCTGTAATCTGTGTCAGCCCCTCAGTGTTTCTTACACGACGTTGACGTTGCTGACGTCTGCAAAGCACCGATTTTGTGGCTCATCCTTCAGTTTGGTTTCCCTGATAGGTTTCCTCATTGTATTATGCATTCTGGGGCAGGTTACCCTTTTTTTTTCCCCCTCCCAAAGTGTATGTCCTTGTCAGTGTATCGAACAGGGAGACATGTCTTATCCCATTATTTTTCTATCCCGTTTTATCCCATTACTGTTGACGTTAACTTTGATGAAACTTCCACCGATTTATGTAAATCCACGCCATTCACTCCATAGGTTCTTAAAAAGGTTTTACAAATAATACTCAGATGTTTGTATCGAAATTAAGTCTTCCTTCTGTTTTGAATGTAACGCTCAGGTCGTCTAACGTAGGGGCTCACCGTGTGTCTATTCTCATTAAGGTGGAGGATGCCTCTTTCCCGAGTGGAGGGAGCACCATCGGCGCGAACCCGGCCTTGTCCAAATCGGACACGGGTCGCGGGAACGGACCCCTCCCGTTAGGGGGCAGTGGGCTGATGGAGGAGATGAGCGCCCTGCTGGCCAGGAGGTAAGCGAGGAGTTACGTGAATGTGGTCACGATTGAGAGGGTTGTGTTCATTTCATTCAGCTGTAATTGAGCCGGGCACAGTTCTTCCCCTCTGGAGAAGTAGCTGTTCTGCTAAGAGTTAGATGAATTTTTTAACAATCTGACTTACCCTCTTTCTAGGAGAAGAATTGCTGAAAAGGGATCAACGATAGACACCGAACAGAAAGAGGACAAACACGTGAGTTCATGAAGAGTCTGCCTGGCTGGGGCACGAGAGCCAGCGGAGCTCCTTCGGGAGACGGTGTTGGAGATTAGTTGGAATCTGTCGCTGCTTCTTTCGGTCCTTCACGTACAACAGATGGCTTGTTTGGAGCCTCACGTATAAATGTTTACTAGCATTCTTCGTAAGATGGGTTGAGTTTGTGGGGAAAGGACTGAATTCTAATCTGTAGAGTAAGTGCTGTACCTTAGGTGAGAGAATGACCTTTCACTTGAGCTTTAAAATCTCTTAGGGTCTCAGTTACCTGCTGTTGAAAACGAAGGAATTAGACTGAATCCTGGTTTTGAACTGTTTCCCTATGGTTCTGGGCTGTGCCCCCTCCTCCCTCCCCATGTCAGCCGGGCTTTATCTGCCTGGTGCCCCGGTGTCTGAGCAGTACAGGTGTTCTCCCCCGCCGTCCCCCCCGAGTTTGGTATTCCGTGCTATTACCCCGACCCGTCTGTGACATCTGGCTCTGTCTCGGTGGCTGGTGCCGCTCAGGGAGGGTGCTCGAGGACAGGACCCGGGGAGGGGAGTTGGGGCAGAGGAGGACAGTCTGTGCTGGAACGGAAGGGGCAGGAGGCTGACAAAAGACACAGCGGGCAGCGCACCAGAAGGGACTGGAGGCGGAGGAGAGTGCGGCACTGAGTCTGTGCCCCGGGTTATTCTAGCAGATGTGGTGTGGTTAATACGAGTTTCTGTATGTTTAGGAAGATTCCGAGCCCGTCACTTCTAAGGCCTCGTCGACAAGTACACCCGGTAAGTTTAGGAGATCTAGTTCAACCTTTGAGAACCTTCTCAAAATACTAACGCCCCTCAATTAAAAATTCCCCTTTACCCATGTTTGGACCAAGTACCTGCTTGGCCACGAAAATGTTAAAAGTGTTTCGTTCACGCTCAGAAGCAATGACTTGTTTTTCCTCTGCCTCTGTGATATTGGGAGATCCGTTAAAACCTGAAGATTTTTTCTGGTGATTCTTTCTTTGAAAATCATAATTTGTAACACATTCCGTGTGTACTAACTGTTAATGATTTGAAGTTATTTGCTAAAGCAAGGAAATATACATAGATGAAAGGGAAGTATCTTTAATCATTGATTCTTAAAGGTAAAGATTAAGTGAGGGGCGCCTGGATGGCTCAGTTGGTTGAGCAGCTGACCTCGGCTCAGGTCACGATCTCACTGTTCGTGGGTTCAAGCCCCGCGTCCGACTCTGTGCTGACAGCTCAGAGCCTGGAACCTGCTTCCGGTTCTGTGTCTCCCTCTCTCTCTACCCCTCCTCTGCTCATGCTCCGTTTCTCTCTTTCTGTCTCTTTCTCTCTCAAAAATAAACCTTAAAAAACATTAATGAAAAAAAAAGATTAAGTGAGTCTGTAGTTATTAGTACTAGCATCCATCTCAAAACGTTCTCAACTAGAGAGCATTGTCATTTTAACCATGCATTTGGGTGGTACTGATAAGGAAGTAAAGCTTCTAATTTGTAAGGTAAAAGGAAAATCTCGTTAAAGTCTTTGAAAAGCGTTGTTGAATTCAGTGCAGTTTCTGATGTGGAGAAATCTTGGGTGGAGAGTATTTCATGCAGAATACAAATAAACCACCTGTCACTGCGGGCACTGCAGGAGCGCGGTGTCCGTGCCTAGGATGTGAGGCTCTCATGTTTTACGTGTCATTTCCTTGTGTTTGACCAAAAGACAAAGAGCTGGACTGTCTCTTCAGCTTTTTTATCTAATTTGGAATAAAGCAACATGAATAAATTTGATGATTTCAATGAATTACTATCTTGAATGACCCATAAGTAATCACTGCAGAGAAATGTCCATGTTCATTCCTACTCGTTTTGATTTGGAGACTACCAGCGACCTCTAGAATTGCACTATTTAGAAATCCTAAAAAATTTCCATTTTTGTGATTGTAACCCATTCTCCAAAAAACCCAACAATAGTCTCATATTCTCATTATTGGATGGTGACTATTCGGTACTTCGATAGCTATCTTGTAGTTACGACTGTGACTTTGTAAATTGTTTTTCCTCTAAATAGGACTCAGATCACTTTGACATTGCCTTCCTTAAAAATCCTCTGTTTGTGAACCACTTACTGTAATAACTTTATCTTTCTTCCATAAGCCAAAATTTATATGTATGTTGTTACCAAGAGCACAGATTCTTCAGAGCTCCACTGTAAGTTAGGGTCCCAGAGCTGTTCACAAGGTGAAAGGAGCTGTGAATCCTCCCACCCCCAATGAGAAGGGGTGGCCGACTGTATTTTTATACAAACGTGTTCATAGTTCATTTGCATGTTCCCTGAGGCATGTCTATAGACCGCCAAGCCAAGAATTCCTCATCCGATAGGGAGCCCTGCTCATTAGACTTTTAGCCCCTGGCGTGCAGACATACACTGTTTTACATTTCACAGTCTGCAGTTTTCCTAGGGGGGCTGGTCACACTTGCTTATTCATTTCTTCCTGTTTTAAGGTCTGAGGTTATACAAATTAGAATCCTTATAGATTTTACTTTTTTTTTTCCAACGTTTTTTTTTATTTATTTTTGGGACAGAGCGAGACAGAGCATGAACGGGGGAGGGGCAGAGAGAGAGAGAGGGAGACACAGAATCGGAAACAGGCTCCAGGCTCTGAGCCATCAGCCCAGAGCCCGACGTGGGGCTCGAACCCACGGACCGTGAGATCGTGACCTGGCTGAAGTCGGACGCTTAACCGACTGCGCCACCCAGGCGCCCCAGATTTTACTTTTAAAAACAGTTTTTTAATGTTTGCTTTTGAGAGCGAGAGAGAGAGACAGGGCACAAGCAAGGGGGGGGGGGGCAGAGAGGGAGACACAGGATCCGAAGCCAGGCTCCAGGCTCGGAGCTGTCAGCCCAGAGCCCACGTGAGGCTTGAACTCACGGACCGTGAGATCATGACCTGAGCTGAAGTCAGACGCTCAGCAGACTGAGCCCCCCAGGCGCCCAGAATCCTTACAGATTTTAATTAAAGCTCAGAATTGAAATGAAAAATTTTTTGTTTATCTGTATTACTGCCTGAACGTGTATAGTGGCGTCTAGGATTTTGTTATTTGTTTCACAGTAACTCTGGGAGCACATAAGGTATTTAATAACTTATGTTCCATATTTTTAAGAACCAGCAAGAAAACCTTGGGAAAGAGCGAATACAGTGAATGGCAGCAAGTCACCTGTCATCTCCAGGTACCTGTGTTCTCTAAGGTTCACATTTACACGTGGTTAGCGGCTACATTTCCGTTGTAGGAAAAATCAAATGGTGGATTTGAGTGTGCAAAGGAGCAAATAAAACCTGTAATCCTACTGCTCTTGGAAACCACTGAGCACGTTCTATTCTTCCTAGTGATTGTCTGGACCCCACCGTATGCTTATTGTTAGCCAGTTGTCTGAAATTTTGAGATCGTTTTGGTCCTTCCGAACGGTTTTATTTTGAAGAATTCAGAACTACAGAAAAGTCGAGAGAAGAGCAAACACCCGTATGCCCATCGTCCAGACTCCCCAGTTCCTAGTTTTGCCACATTGGCTTTGAGCTCCTATTTACACATCCACGCTTGTTTCTCTGGAGTTCTGGAAAGCAGTTTGCAAATTTGCTTCATCCTGAATCCTTCATCCTTCTGCATTTTCCCTGAGGAGCAGGCTGTCCTCCTGCGGAACCCTAGTACCGTTCTCGCTTGCAAGAAAGTTAACATTGAGCCATGATGTGATGTGACATAGTCACATTTCCCCATTAGTCTCAGTGACATCCTTCATTTAGTGTTTAAGAAAGAGCAAAATAAAACCTGAAGTTCTGAATTTGTGAAGTAAAAAGATTGATTTCCCTCTCAGTTGAAACTTTAATTATAGTCAACTTAGAAAAAGTGCCCAGAAACAAGACTGGTTAATCTTGTTTATCCCGGGCCACGAGGCGTGGTCTTAGCAAACAGCATTTCTTAGCTGGGTGTGTTTTGTTGTCATAACTAATTTGTATCACAGGTCTTGAACATAGATGAGACTTTCCCTTGATTTCTGAGACAGTTTAAAGGACTTCTGTTTTTGGTTTTTGGTTTTTGTTTTTTGGGTTTTTTTTTCCAGAAAAAAGTATGTGTCTCGGGACCAAACGGTTTTTTGCCTTTTCTTTCTGGCCTTATTTGCCTTATTTTTGCCTCTTAAAAAGCAGACTTGACTCTAATGATAGAAACCTAAAAAGGGAAAAATTCGAGGATAGACACCC